TCAATGACGTTTATTCAGGAACTAAAAACTAGTTTAACATATGTATGCGAATACAGCAAAAGTTATGGGAAGAGAGTAACTGCTTTAAAATGTATATACATAGTTGCAGTTATACTTGTATACGAAATAATTGCGTTGGAGCTACACATGCCAGACAAACTTCCAACACTCCTTCTCAACGCAAGCATATCGTTTACAAATGCATCGAAATATACATAAATAGTACAAAAATAATAAGGCGCTAGTAAAGACCAAGTTGCTCAGTAAACTTTACATGTTTAATTTTGGGTAAATTTTTTGTAAATATATCTGCTACCATATCGTTGGTATTAACATATTCCAACTCAATATCTCCGTTTTTTTAGTACCTCCCGAACGTGATGATATTTTATATCGATGTGCTTACTGCGCGCGTGGTACACCGGGTTCTTTGCCAACTACTGCGCGCTTAAGTTGTTGCTTCGTATAAAGATAGGCGCCGAGTGCTGTGAGTGGAAACCAAGTTCTGCTAGTAGTCGCCGCAAATATACTGCCTCCTTAGCTGCCGTAGATAATGCGACGTACTCAGCTTCCGTACTACTCAAAGAAACAGCGCACTGCTTCTTGCTCTCCCAGGAAAAAACGCTCCCACCTAGGAAGAATGCGTAGCCAGTACAGGATTTACGGTCATGGGTATCACCACCCCAATCAGCATCGACGAAGCCACAAACTGGCTTTTCACTCGGTGCGTAGTGTAGCTTAAAATCTGCCGTTTTCGACAGGTAGCGCAGAATGTGTTTTGCGCCGGCTTCGTGCTCGGCATGGGGATTTGTGTTCCGCTGAGCGAGCTTGCACACCGAGTGCAATATATCGGGACGAGTAATTAACGACAATTACATTAGAGCGCCGATAAGAGACTGGTATGCAGTAGCATCTACCTTTTTACAACGGTCGTTATCACACTTAACTTGGAACCCGCTGTCTAGAGGAGTCGCTGCAGGTCGACAGTTCGCCTTGTTTCTCCTTCTCGCTTTATCTCCATACCCAAAAAGTATGTTAGTTGGCCTTTATCGATCAAATAAAATTCATTAGGAATGCGCATTTTAATTTTCCTTAAATCGACTTCCTTCGAACTAGCTAAAATAATGTCGTCAACATAAACAGCAATT